AGGGTTGACGGTCTTTAATAGTATCTCATTGGTGATACACTCAATCAATTTCGCACTTCCTGTATACCAGATCCAGCTATAGAATTCACAACAGAATTATCCGTATAGTAGTGCATTTAGGCTGCAGTCCACTTGCTTCTTTCAAATGCTCTGAACGCTACGCTTCGATTGGTCCATTACTGTCTCGAATGCTACAATTGCTACGTGAACGCTCCAGCCAACCCACCTCCCGAGGTGAGGTAGTTGGAGCGAAGTGGGAGAGAAAACGATGACCTATTGATGACGTAATCAGGGTTGCTGGGAGCGTTCCGAAGCGTCAAATGGACCAGTCATGTTAGTGCTACAAATGCTCTGTAGCGTTTGAAGTGCTAAATGGACCGCAGCCTTAGACTACTGTGATAATGCAGCAATGAAGGACACTCAATATGTCAAATACCACTTCCACCTCTACGTGAAGAAATAAGAAACAGGCTAGTGGGATATAAGTGAAGTAAAGAAGAAGTGAAGAATGTTACAACTGGTACTGTAAAGAATGTACTTAGTAGCGCAGAAGGCAAACGGTCAAAGAAAAGAGAACAGGAAACAAAGAGAAAAGATAAATTCAGCGATGGAAATGCTAATTGACCTGATCTCCTGCTCCCACTTCCTCGTCGCTACGGTTTTCATGAACGCCTGCTGCGATATTTGGTGACTGAGCGTCGAGTGCCAACAGAACATTGCACAGCTTGTAGTCAAAACCTGCAGAAATCAATCAAGTAAGATAAAGATATTCACTGCTGTTTTACGCGTCGACATTCTTCTTTCACGAGATTCTGCCATTTCGGTGCATCGGGCTTTTATCATACCGCATTGATCCTAATAATCCTGGCTTGATTAAAACTAATACTGTGGCTGAATGTACGAGTTCAGACAAACTACTCAAAATATCGAATAAATTTCAACTCTTTGAAATACTAATTCTTCTGTCTGGTACATGTTATATTTATTTATAGATTAAACAATGAACTTATTATACATAATGAATAATGTGCATCTGAACATATTACATGCAACCTTACTTCCTATAAACATGATAAGTAATATCGGCACTTTGTTGGAATCACATTCCAGTGTGCTTTGTAATTCATCTTCGAGATATTCTCTGTCAAATTAGAAATTTCCTGCACGATTGACGCAGCATTGCGAAGAATTTTTCATAAAAATATATGTTACAGTATTATCTTACAACAACAGTGCTTACAAATACTTGTACGGGTGCTTGCATTATCACACACGTAGATGTAACACACGCTTGTGACACACAGAATAGCAAAACAGATCTTGTGGCCATCTTTTCAGGAAGGAGGAGAGGGGAGAGGGCGGAATAAGAAACAAGAACATAGGGTAGATCGTTGACATTGAATTATTTTTGGCTGTTCTGTGGCATGGACTGAGAATGGGTTATGTACCTGATCACCTGCACCCACGTCCGTCTCTTGCCTGTCCGTATGGACACCATCCGCGATATTTGGGGATTGTTGTTCGATCGCCACCAAAAGGTTCAACGTACGCCAATCGAATCCTGCCACGATATGCTTACGTTACACAGTCTTTACTTATCTCCTAGCATGATCTTTTTTTTGGTCCGAAAGATAATGAGTAGAATACAGATTATCCGATCGATCGAGCCATGGAGGATCCAAATCAAACATGTGTATATACAAAATCTTCATGTTCGTCTTAATATTATTATTTCAGTATAAAGAAATAAAAATTATAAATGATGTCTGAAACTTGAATCTTTTGTGCCATGATTCGATCGTATATAACAATTCGATAAGGGAGAACCGTATGAGGCGGATTTTATGAGGACGAGGAAGCTGGCTATTTATTCAGCCACAAAGCATGCATGTGTTACATGAGTATAATGACTTGTCGTTTCGTCGGAAGTAGAAAGATTTCAATTTTTCTCGCGCAAACATACAATTGACATCCAACAAAGTGTCAAAGACAATCAGGAAAAGTGAGAGACGTGCATCATTAAAATTAAGGGTAAATAGAATGCAAGTATCGTCTTGATTAGATGTTGTACCTTTTGAAGAGTCATCGTAGCCGATGTGTTTTACTGTATCACGAACGATCTTCTGATAATCCACTACAGCCTTTGATGTAATCTCTCCGCATAATAATATCATCCCAGTTTTTGTTACAGTTTCTGTGATAAATAAAAATTTTGATAATTGTACATATAACTACACATAACAAAATTATATATTTAATGCAAAATAGTGATTATATTTAAAAGATATTAAATAAAGTGTTAAGCAAACCATAATATATTTGGAAAAATTCTTTTCTCTCTCAAAAGTTAATTTTGATTGATTTTAATAATATATATTATGAATGTAATATAATTAGAAGTCAAAAGTTTCAACCTAAAACTAGTTCGGGGCCGAACAAACTAATTTATAAATAGATATCGTACATATTCAAGTGCTTGAAGAAATCAGCACTGTCTTGGCGAAACTTACCGCATGCTACTTTAGCGTCGGGATCTTGTTTCAGGTGTGCATCCAAAATGGCGTCGCTTATTTGATCACACATTTTATCTGAAAACATAAGATATATAAATCTACTAATTCAGATGAATTATTAAGTAAAACAATTAGAGAATTAGTATCTACATAATTATTAAAATCTTATTAAAAAACTTTATTACACGAATGTAATAAATAAACAAGAGAAAAAAGTGTATTATTTAAAGGAATAATGGTTAATTTTTCTTCTGTCTGTATTATAAGAAAAACGATGAATCGCTAATCCAAGATTAGTTCACCTAAATTGCTCACATGACTCGTGAACTTTCTTTCTTTATCTTTGATATAATTAGAGCCATGATGTAGAAAGAAAAAATAAGTCGCGTTAACAATCTACAAAGATAATTAGCAATATGAGCAAATTACAAAAAAAATGAATTACCATTTTTTGAAATAATTAAGTTAAAAATAGTCGATGTGGTTAAAAGATACAGAAATTACGACTGCTTTAAAGCCTTGAAAAATAAATTACAACATTTAAAACCAGAGTATAAACACATGCAGAAATGTAATTTTATTACAATCTCACAACTATCTTAGATTGGATATTAGAAAGAAAGAATTTTACATAAGCAATTGATAAATGCAACATAAATTATTATGGATATAATTTTTTTACATAAAATTATTTTAGACAGAATTTCGATAAAGCAGATCTATAGAACGCTACATTTCTGTTAATTCGAGAATAAGGTGAATTTTTTGGTGTCTTACAAGATTATTTTTTATTAAGTTAAAAGATTTCGTCAACCATCCTTGTAGTTAGTGATGTCATTTCGATGTCATTTGGTTTGATTTTGATCCGTTTCTTATATCCAAGATAATTAAAGTATAGATATCGTAAGTAATGTTTGCATTTGTATGTGAAGAATATTTTATACAATATGATTAATATCAACTTATCAGCAAAAACTTAAAACGATTAAATAATTCCCTACTTCGTGCTATGATCTGGTATTTATTACAGATAAGCATTACATTTATTACAGATAAGCAGTAGCTTTGCTGTCTCAACATATATTTTACATATACTTTTTATATTCGTTCTTTGTTAATATGAACCAATAGAGTACAGATAAAAATTGTCATTATGGTTATTTATCAAGACGGAGTGTCATGATTTTAAGTATGGGCCTTAAAGTCATTTCTCGAACATTCTGGCTAAGATATGGGAAGTCAAAATAAAGAATGAAGAAATATAAACAGTCGTTGCTTAATCATAGCTCTCTTTTTCTTCCTCTTTCTTTCTTCCCAAGGACAAAATACAATGCCTACAATTGTATCATCTTATATATGTTGTTAGGTTTTTATACTTGGAATTTAAACAACCAATATATTAACGATTGATCAGTCAAAGTTAATCGAAAAAAGAATAACATCAACAAACATTAGAATATCGTCAAGAGGAGATCGGACGCGCCATCTATGTCTTGAAGAGAATCATCTAGAAACTCTCTAGAAGATGGCGAACTCTTTTTTGTGCATGACGAACAATTGCTCATCTATGGCTGGATTCAAAGTAATAACGAAGACGTAATAATGAAGCAACAAGGAAGTAATAACGAAGAAACTTCGTAGAACGATTGCACCTGATTAGTCCTGACTTAGCAATTAGCTGTTTCTTTTCTCACAGTCACATCTATAACACGACAGTAAATTTTTATTACTACTTACATTTTACTGTTTAATTTTTTTGTGTGCCATAATCTTAATTGTTTCATTAGTGGTCTGTTTTTCGTTCTTGCACTAGATTGCATTAGAACTCTCTTTCTCGCTTATGACAAATATAAAATATGTACCTATCTCACTTTATAAGTTCTAAAAGTGTTCAACACACTAGTTCAAGCACAGAAAACAGACCTTAGATTTAAATCTTGCAGCTGAATCTTTTTCAACACAAACGATTTTTTAATATGTTCTATTTTAGATTATTAAATCCAAGTTTTTTATTGGTAACACTTATTGCATCTTTAAGGAACGGCTTATATACAAATACAATTTTTCTCTTCATTATTTCGTCCTCTTTTCATGATCTGATTTTTTTAGAATTAAAGAATAATAAGGTCAGCTCTGAAATTTGAGAGGTTTTCTAGGAATTTTTCAGAATATAAATTCCAATATAATTTCAGGATCCGAAAATATTGACACCATGTTATGCTATATATATAATCCAAATTAAAGTTATAAAATAAAACGATATATAAGTTATAGTATATATACAGGGAGTAATTATATATCTTTCTTTCACGTAAGATTTTGACAAAATCATCATTCGTGCAATGAGAAAATTTTTTCTCACAGTTTACTTTGAAAATATGATAGTCCTATAACATCGTATTTTGAGGAATTACTATAACTATCATTTTTTATTATTTACAAGATCAATTTTAAGAGAAAATTCCGTGTGGCCAGTCTGTTATAGAATCTCTAATACAATTTGGCGCGGCGTCTACCATCGATCGACCGTAGGCTTGATCTTTTCGCTGAACTTTTGACACCGGTTGATCTTCTCTTTTTTTTTCTCTCTCCACGGAGAAAACAGAGAAAAGAGATGTACCGCAGATGCAAAAAGTTCAGCTAAGAACGAGCGCACAGCGCGAGCACATGGTGGCGGCGATGTGCACGGCCAGGTCATCATGTCGGCGAGAATGAGAAATGTGCGGGAACTTCCCGCCGAAATCTAGAAGAAGCGAGGAACTGAGTTTCATTCACTCGGAAATCGAAAGCACGGTGTGCTTTCTTTTCTAGAACATGGCTATTTTTGGTAAAAAGCGTCATCGGAGGGCATTGAAGAAGATGCGATTGCCGTCGATCGAGATCTGACTGAGGGGAGTAAATGAAGGGGTAGGAAAAAGCGTGGCACGCTCCCTCCAGGAAGCGATCCTTTTCCATGGTGACGTACGCGGAACGGGACGATGATGGTAATGCTGAGTCGCGTTCAGAATCATCGTCTCGGTGTACTTAGATGTCGTTTTATCCTTGTTGTTCACTGAATGTTAGACAAGGATAAAACGACATCTGGGTGCACCCGGATCATGATTAGTCCTGATGGTAGCAGAATCGTAGAGAGGGTAGGAAAGTACAGGGGGACGTAGAACGAACGAGAGAGAGAGAGAGAGGGGGGAGGGAGAGCGGAGGAGAAAGATGGAAAGATCAAAGTTCTTTCCGACCGATACATAATCATCCCGGTAAAGCCTCCCCCCTTCCCCTCCAGCAAAGTGAAATGGTCCTCGGATTACTCACCCGGGTGTCCCTCGCCGACAGACTCCGAGGTGAACAGGAACGCGGTGTCCTGCTGGAGCTCAGGCGGCGCATGGCCATTCGCGTAGCCGTTCATATGGTGTGCGGTCTCCGGCATCTTTCTACGTTTCGGTGTCGTCGCCGCCGTAGTCGCCGCGTCGCCTCGTAGCTGGTATTCGTTACTCAGATTCGTTCTGGGTGTATCGCCCACCCTCGTTGAGTCTTTTCAACGTATATGGCCGTCTGCACTGCGGGCGAGCTTCTCTCCACGTGCCTTCTCCTCCTCGTCGTCGTCGTCGTTGTCGTCGTTTCCTCTTCGCGTTTACGCGCGCTCTGCTTCGAGTTACCGTCCGCGTGGTCGGTGTAGTACAATCGAGCGAGCCGCGTTTCTTGCAGGAGTTAGACCTGTAGCTGCTTTCGAGAGGACACGCGAGCGAGCGACAGCGTGCACGACTTGCACGAGAGGAACGGCGGATCGAATCGTGAGAGAGCGCGAGCTCCACACAGGCACACGGCACACCGCGTAATGATCGCCGAGATCGCCGATCGGGAATAGGGACCGCCGAAGAGCGAATCAGCGAATCGAGCGAACGAACAGACGATTAAGCGAAGCGAAGCAACGCGCCGCGACGCGTAGCGGGAAATCAAAGAGACTCTCCACAATCTTCAAGATCGTCCTCTATTTATAACCTCGCTCTGCCTTGCTTACCTCGGTTTACCTCCGTCCGTCTGGCTGTATGATTGGTCGGTTACTGTAGTCACGTGACGCTACAGTACGCTCGGCGCGAAAATTGAATCGAACGAAGTCTTGTCGCGTTTGTCTTGACAATTACTATTCGCCCTCGTCAACTCCACGTGCTCCTATAGAAAAGGAAACGCGCGTTATACTGCGTTTACAATGAGATTTTAAGGCGTGAAACTTGGGATTTATTCTTAACTTTTAACGACTGTAACGATATCGTTATATTATCTTTGCGTAGGTTTTTTTTCCATGCATAAAATTTGCAACGATAATGTAACGATATCAGTTACAGTCGTTAAGAATTATAGAATAGAGTCCTCAGAGGAACAGTCTGAGGACATTTCGAACGATTGGGGATTATTCAGTTGTAAAACTAGATATAACCGTATTGAAAATTGTTTCTCTCGCGAGAGGAACAATTTTTGAAAATGTTAAATTTTTTTCTTTTTCTAAAAAAGATGCAATTCTTTGATAAATTTTGAACGGAGGATGTAGACTGATACGAAATTTCAGCAAGATAAATTTATATATAAGTTCATTATAATTTTACATTTTTGCATATATATGTATATCAAATTGTTTATATAATAATAAAATATTTTAAAGAGGAGAAACAAAAACTGCGCACCATCTACAGCACCAATTCTAAATTTCCTGTTCATCAATTGTTTACTTTTCTTAAATTTATTATCTTGGGAATTTAGTTCGAATTTATTAGGATTGGCAAGTAACGCGTTATATACTTGTAACGCCGTTACTTTAGTATATATAGTGAGATTTGTTTGTCTCAGAAATCCATAGTTTTTCGTAGATATTTGTATGTAAGACGTCAAGTGGCGTTGTTTGGGGACGGAGAATTTCTTGGTTTTTCAAACAAATAACACTACTTTACGTCCCACTACAAATATCTACGAAAAACTAAGAATTTCTAAGATCTTGTTTCAATCTATGTATTTTTTTCGTAAAAACTTTCCGCCAAGATGATATAAATTTTATAAAAGTATTTTACGTTTGAAATCCATTTTCAACGGAATTCGGAGCCCTGACTACAGTTTTATAAATAAAGTATTTCTGATGGGAATATTAAAAATTTTTTAATATTATGATTTTGGAACTGGGGACCGTTTACTTGAATAAATCAAATTAATATGAAAAGCGCCGGTTACGGTCAAAATTAGATGTTAAAAGTAATATACATTTTTAGAAACATTTTTAGAAGTATATAAGTATTTTACATAATACTGGACACTCATTTTTTATTAAGAGTCAATATTTATGGAATTATCTGGAATTAATTTTCTCTTTACAGTTTAATTTGCAGTTTGTTTGAATATTCATAAAAATCTTTGGCCAATCATGGGACTTAGTTCTTTTTACATGTCAATGATTCTAGGGAAAATTTATGAAAACATAGAAAAACCGTTTACCTATTTTATGAATGGTTAAATGATAGACAAGACTCCATTTAAAATGTAAAATGAAAATGGTTTTCCAAAAACCATTTAAAATGGAAAATGCAAAATGCCATTTCCATTTTAAATACATATTTAAAATGGAACTATTTTAAATATTATCCAGCCTTGAATATTACATCAATGTAATCTTCTGTATATATATCAAATATTTTATTTATTGCCAAATATTTTGACAACTCGGTAAAAAATTTTTCATGCATGAATATGTAGAGGAGAGCCCTCTATCATAAGATAGGCGCCTAATATGAGATAGCGGCGTTTCTGCTAAACTAATTAATAAACGATGTCTATTGGTTCCATGAATTTATTGCTCTTGGATTGAAAATTATTTAGTTTTAGGAAAATTCATTATTAGATCATACTTGTAGTCGTTGTAAAAAATAATTTTAGAATTTGAATGTCTTCAAGTTTCATTGAGATGAGCCTTTAAACTAGGGATGCACCGGATATCCGGAAAGTATCCGGTATCCGGTATTATCCGGCACTTTTTTACTATCCGACCGGATAGTTGGATATCATTAATATCCGAGAATGTATCCGGTTGAAATTTGATATCATTAAATTGATATCATTGTTGATTTTTTATTTATACAAATGCTCTAAAAATAAGTATGCATATTCACAATGCTATCATATCTTATATATTGTTGCAAAATTATAATTTTTTCTCTATAGGCTCTTTTTTAAGACATTTTCTCGGAAACCGGTCAGATATCCGGGAAATGTCGGATATGCAACTCGAAGAAATTACCTTCTCGGATATCCGACCGGATACCGGACATCCGATGTTACATTTTGTCCGGATATTTGATATCCGATATCCGGTAATTTTACGATCCGATGCATTCCTACTTAAATAATAAACCCTGTTTATTATTTAATAAGTAAATATTTAGCAACAAATTCTTCATGTAGTGATAAAGTAAGGTCGTACTAATAGAAAAATACGGGATATGTTGAATTTCTTAATTACAGAAGTTAGATTTGATAATCGTAAAACTGTAAGGCGTGGAAATCATAATATGAGATATCCAGGGTATTTCTAATATGAAATAACCTATGCTCCTGTCATAGTGAAATCATTGCTAAAATATACAATAAATGTTATTATACAATAATAAAAAGGATAATCGGAATAAACATCGACTGCCTATTTCTACGATACTTTATTCCAATTATCTGAAGACGAATCCTGAGTACAACGCATCGCATGCTCATTTTGCGGGCACACTGGCTGTTTGTTTATATTCTAGAAATATTAAATTGTAAAACATTAGTATTGCAATTAAAAGTTTTTTAATTGCAATACTAATGTACTTTGCGTTATCGTTTGCTCTGGGCATTTCATGTTAGGAGCAACAATTTTTTAATTTTGCGATTTGCTCACTTTTTACATTTCTTTAATTTAAAAAAAAAATAGAATTTGAATTAAATTTGACATAACATTATCTTAAACTTATTAAATTTCCTTTAAAATGACCCTTTAAAAATTTTTTTAATAATTTTTTTAAATTTTATCCATAGACTTTTCTAGCATTTACACAAAATGAACTTGGTATCTCATAATAGGGGCTTTTCCTCTATAAATATGTATAAACATACATAAATATTCATTCATTTACATGTATAATCATATACGAAATATGTCCACACATGATTATTCATCCCTCTTTCTTTTATAAAATTACTTTTTAGTGTAATGGAAATAATAATAGTAATGTGAAAATATTAAAAATAATTAAAAGGCTAATTTTCACACTATTTGTTTTAGAAAAAATCATGTTTAAAGAAATGTAAAAAAATTACTTATGTATAATTATATATAAAATTATGCATAATTGTGTATGAGCAATTTTTATTACATTTTTCCAAACTTGTTTTTTTTTCTAAAACGAATAATGCGAAAATTATCCCTTTAATTATTTTTTTATGTTTTCACATTACTATTATTATTTCCATTACACTAAAAAGTTTACAAAAGAAAGAGAAATGTATGAACATGTATCGAAATACTTCATATCTGGAGGCACTGATAGTGTCTTGGCGCTAAGCTACGCGCTGCGACACTGTCATGCCTCCTTTACGCGAACCGACGAGTTGCGCTGGTATGATTATACATGTTTATGAATATTTACGTATGTTTATACACATATTTATACATATTTATGCATGAACAATTTTTTACCGGGCTCTAATGAATATGAAAATCGGAGTATAAGTCGAATGTAATGGGGAGTAATAGAAGCGTAAATGAAACTTTTAGGAAAATGGAAATATCGAAACGTAGAAGAAGCGTAAACGTTTTATTTTTATCAGGGTGAGTACGAAAATTTAAATATTAATATTCATTCGTATTACTCATATAATCGTATATATACGTGAAAAATAAGTTTAATGTATGAAATTAAAAATATTATATGCACTGAAATACCGTCAATTTGCTCCAGGTATTCTCCAGGGTTGGCAAGTAACGCGTTACTTTGTTGATCGTTACCTTGTTATAATAACGATTTGGTAATGACATTGTAAATTTTTTATGATGGTAATGCTAACCATCAGAATTAGAAAAATCAATCGTTACTTGTAATGGATTGAACAAGTCATTCGTTATTCTGAAAAAAATAATTTGTAACGCGTTATTTTTTAGTAACGAGTAACGTTACTCGTTATACTTATAACTTTTTCAGTGTAACGTGTAATAATGACAAGTTATTTTTCAAAGTGACTTTTCTAACCTTAGTACAACCTTAGCGTTACCGTCATAAAAAATTGCAACATCATCATCAAATTGTTTAGTATAAAAAGTAACGACAAAGTAACTGAAAAGTAACGTTTGCTAACTTTTTCAGTGTAACGTGTAATAATGACAAGTTATTTTTCAAAGTGACTTTTCTAACCTTAGTACAACCTTAGCATTACCGTCATAAAAAATTGCAACATCATCATCAAATTGTTTAGTATAAAAAGTAACGACAAAGTAACTGAAAAGTAACGTTTGCCAACCCTGGTATTCTCTTAACATTAATTGGAAATTTATTGTTTTTCGCTTGTGATTGTTGCTAGATTGTTACACGTAAAGAGAATATGAGCAATGCATTTATAAGAAACATTTTTATGTAAATATTTATTAATCGCTGTAATTGTTTGTATTGTGAAAGATCTAGCCAATATTTTAAGAACATTTGTAAACAATTACTTGTTTTTCTAGTTACATTTTTCATATTCACAAATAAATTTATTTCTAGTTATGTTATGGTTGAATTTCATTTTCACAATTTCAATTATCAAAGAATTATTAGAATTATTATTGTAATATCGTCTTCAACTTATAAATGAAATATTGATACTTTTAAATACGAAATCGTTAATTTTTGAGTGTGCGAAATTTAAACGGGAATATATAATATGTATCTAATCTAAGCTTGAAGGACATTATGATAAGTTTACGATTTTGATATACTACAACGTTCCTACTGATTTATCAACATGACACTATGATCTTTACGACGAATAATCACTTTTAGGATTTGCTCCAATCAGAAACGTTATCGAAGTTTTTAACATTGCATCATGTAATGATCTTGAAAATTAAAAAATAAAAAGTAATCGTCACATGTACAAGTATCTGCACAATCCTCATGTTTAACGTTAATTGTAAAACTTTGTGTTCTTAATCTAGAATCAGTCGCTCTGAGATATCGAAATTATTTTTAGCATTACATGTAAATACAAAGCTGAAATGTTTTTCGAATCCAAAATTTTATTCCTATGACCAGGTAGAACACAAAATAATAAGATAAAAAAATGACGTCAAATAAAAGTCATTTTAGAAAAAATCATAATGATCATTCGATACACTTTTGATGATGATTTTGTAGTCATAATTAAGTTATAATGATATCATAGGACATTATCATGATATCATACTTAAAAATGAACTTAGAAATGACAAATGATAATATCCTTTTGATATTATTATGACTTCTGTGTTCTACTTGGGGAATTCTTGACGATGATATTTAGGTAACTTTTTTTTAAATTACTTATAAACCATTGTTATGTTAAGAATTTTAATTGATCTTTTATTTAAAAAAAAGTCAATTAAAAATTATTGTTATATCAAAAATTTCATTAAAAATTTTTCATCAAAAGTGTATCGAATGATACATGAATATGATTTTTGTTAAAATAACTTCTACTTGATGTTTTTTTCGATCTTATTATGATTTTGCATTTTACCTGGCGATCATTATTATAATTGTAATGTGTAAATAGAAACCAACAATCCAGTCTAGATTATACTTACCGATAATACTGGTCAAGTGTTTATCACGTGATTCTAAGTTGCTATCTTTGAGTCCCAACACGAGAAATGCTGAATTCCGCGTCTATTGTAACGTCGCGTCGTCGCGTTTTTCTGACACAGCCGGAAATCTAATTCGCACAGGATATAAAAAAGAGCAACAAAGATGCGATACTCGAGCACAATATTCAGAACAGACGAACGTTATCGTCACTCGACAGAATTGCACTATGCGACAGTGTGCAAACTGGCTAGACTTTTATATATCGCTTAGCGAATCGAAAAACTCTTGGAGTGGGATCGGTAACTGCAAATGCATTAGAATGCTCGATACATCAATTTGCAACAAATTGCACAAGTGTTTATGGTCTTATTTGTTTCCTTGGAGTGATGGAAATATAATTTAAAATCTATTATATTTAGTGCTTCTATTCTACTCTTAACGACATTATCGTTGTGCGTATTATAATATGTGATCAAAAAGTTGCGTAAACGATAATATAACGATACTGACACTATTGATAAGAATTATAGAATTATAAGGGATCTCATCTTCTTGTTTTTGCGATATAAAGCTAGATGTAGAATTATAGATGAATAGAAGCTGAATTTATCTAAACTTATTTATATATTTATATAATTAAAATTATTTAGAATCGCTTAAAATTTGTGATAAGATCGTTGTTGGTAAAGAACTATAAAATGAAATAGTTTTCAACCAAGCAATCTTGAATACAACTAAGAAACCAAATAGCTGTAAACTAAATTCGATGAAACTAAAAAGATCTGAAGCGAGCATTTTTAAAATTCGTAATCTATGGAACTGTTAAATTTTGAATTCGGAAGTTTCGAATTAGAAATATGGTTTGCTTACAAATGCTTGTAAATAAAAATTTACAAAGCAAGGCATCTGTGGGCATCGAAAGTCTTTATAAAAACATATAATAATTAAAAAAATTAATTATTCTCAATTTTGAAAAAATTACTTTCAATTATAATAAAAATAAATTCTGTACTTGTGGAAGTATAAATTTTCAAATATGAAAACTTTAAAATCAGCAATTAACAAATGTGCAAGCAAGTGAGATATTCGAATTTCCAATTATTTTCTTGTAATAAAATGTTATATATACGTTATCCTTTGTTATTGATAATTATGCTTGTGGTAAATCTTGTGTACTTTTTTTTAACAATTTGACTCGTAGAAAAACGTAATATGCAATACACGACTAACATGTTGCAATTACAGTTAAAGTTGCCTATCATTCGAGGTGTCAAGCGTTAATGACGTTAAAGTTGCTGATCATTTATATACGTCATGCGTTATTCGTAAGTGACGAGTTGTGAATCATGTTAATGAATGTGAAACGATTGCGTGACTAGCACTTAAGTTTAAACGCGATAATGATTATCATCTAATATCTTTGATACTTATTATAAATAAAACTAATCTTTTGGCCATTCAATGGAATAAACAGCACTCATTAATTATAAAGGTAACCATTTAATTAATAGTAAATGTAATAAATGAAGTAAATGTAAATAATTAATATAAGTATAAGGTAATAATAAATTCAACAACTTGCAATAATTTTTGAGTAGTAACAAAGATTTAATGGAAAGCAAAATGAGGTTCCTGTGCATTTTATTTTTAACCGATAGCGTCAAATGTTATGAAAAATATATACACATATGTTGTCTGTTTATCGGCTCTGCTTTGCAAATAACTCGTTAATCTCGTAAAAAGATTAATAGTAAGCAGTAATTTTGTAACAACACGTTGCACATGCGGTGTTGTAATAATATTGCACTTAATATTTTTCTATTCTTGTATTCTTTGTAGTCTTTTTGTATTCACCGAAGATTATTTTAACGCAAAACAATCTCCGAAGAAGGGGCATAATCAATATGACGAAATTTTCGATTTTATGTATCGATTTTATGTAATTAATGTAAACTGACAACCAAGTTTAATTCGTCTATAGTGATTTAATTAGTTGGTGTCATGATGTCGCATGAGATCATTTTGGTAGGGTAGAGCGGGGCTATTTGAGCATAGGGGCAAGTTGGTCAAATGCAAATATCTAAATAACTAAAATATGTATAGATACGTCTATGCTTGCGTAATGTAGCACAAAGACAGAGATTATTGTACCTTAATACAATAATCTGTGTCCGGCTATCAACAGCCAAATACGTACGCTTTTTCGTTTTTGTATATCAAAAGTAAAATTATTAGGTGAGTATTCTTTTTGGTTTACATGGTAATTAGAGCGATTGATAATAATCAAATGTGTTTTTTAGATATAAGTTATTATCGTATTTTTTAACTTTAATGTTTAAGTTGCTATTTTATTTACGGTTTTTCAGTTATAAAAAAGTATTTCAGTCAACACCGATATGAGGCTTGTTGGGCCAGTACCTCATAACTAACCTTATAAACTCAGCTGCTTAAATGAAATCTGTCTTTATCAATGCTTTTTATTCTATGTCAACGATTAAACATATATTTTACGTTTAATTATTATTATAAAGAGTAAAGATTTTAGTTTTTCTAATTTTGTTAATTAAAGCATTTAAAAAGAAAGAATATTACAAATTATTATATTTAAGATGCAAATAATAAAAATTTGATTAATATACATATAATCCTTTCATGTTTTTAATAATATATAACCTCATTAAACGGTTACCTTCATGGCTCAATTTATCCTTCGAGGATGCTCAACATGCCCCATAGACGGGGCATATTGGTCCACTTTGCATTCTTGTAATTAACGTAATTTTTTTCTTATTTACGAGATATATTAAGGATTTATAAGTATTTAATTATTGAGCCAGATGAACATGCAACATTTTAAAGCATTTACCATTAATCTATCATAATTGTGTGAAGATTTATAATAATTTAAAGAAAAAGTGTCACAACTAGCCCCGCTCTACCCTACGTTTCTGATTTTAGATAATTTTTTGATCTAAATGAAATATATTATTCTAAAATTATTTTAATGAAACGTATTATTTGTAATATATATTATTGTAAATATTTATAGTGGAACTGGTTGTAGTGGAAACAAATCGGTGAATAAGTCATAATATTTTTAGTGTTAAAAAGTGTTTTAATATAATAAATTTTAAACTTAGCTTTCAACTTAAAAGGAAGTTCTTTTGCGAAGAAAAATAGATTTTTGAAATATTTAATATAAAGGAAGAGTTCAGAAAAAATTCCTCGGACGTTTACCAAATACATATTACAAATTTTTTTTTTGCAATATTCTTAATTCCCCTACAGCACAAAAGTTGCAGCAACAATGCTGCAACATTGCAGCAATATTGCATGTTGCAGCAATATTGCAGCGTTATTGCAGTGATATTGCTGCAAATTCCGTGCTGTATGGGTTATTTGTAAACTTTAAAAGCTATCTACTAACACACGCACACGCACACAGGTATATATATCATTATATTGTAGCAAAATATAATTAAAATACAAGATGTAATTAATATTCGGATGAAATATTCATGATATTAAAAAAAAAATTCTTCAGCGTAACTTTTATGTCAGCAGTTTAACAACAAAACTAAGTGTATGATATAATCTGCATCAGTAATAACCAGATACTGAGTACTGATAGCTAAAGTGCTGAATAGTTTGAAAGTTATATGTCCACGTGTACTGGATGTAATAGATAGATCTTGAGTTCATTAATTCTTTAGTGCAAAGACTCTAAATGAAATTTAAGATATACGGGAATGTAATTCGATATAACCGAAAGGAATTAATCCTTTTATATAAAATAAAGCGAAAAAATAAACTATATCTTTTTCTACGAGATCTTTGTTTTTAAGAAAATTAAATTTGAATGAAAAATAAATTAAACACGTTTTGTATTTAATATATATGTCATTAAAAATTACTTGATTGGTGTATCTGTATTTATTACTTGTTTTTTTTAGCTATTTTTTGATTAGTTGTAAATATTAAATTCGATTAACAGGATTAAATTCGAAATATTAATGTGAATAATTTAATATTTCTTTTAATATACAAAACATTATAGACAAATATTTTCTTTGCCAAATTTTCTGTTGTGACTATCGATACAGTGTAATTTATCGTGATAGATTGCACTAAATATATAAATATGTGTACTAAATATATATATATATATATATGGGTATATGTAAATGTGTATTTTTTCACCAATATAATTTAAATTTTTTTTAAACACTCCAAAATTACAAAAAATTATGATAATACTAGTTTTCAAAAAAAAAAATAAAAAAAGCTTTTCTTATATATTTTTGAATATTGAAAATGTGTGTGTGTGTGTGTGTGTGTGTGTGTGTGTGTGTGTGTGTGTGTGTGTGTGTGTGTGTGTGTGTGTGTGTGTGTGTGTGAGAGAGATGCCACAAGCCCGTCAGTACCTACGTCAAGTTTCCGAAATAATTAAGTAATGTTTAAAAAATTATTTTTTTGCAATAAAGTAGGATCTTGATTATCCGATAACCTGATTATTCGATACCTTATTTTAATTAAATTATTTTGATCTAAAACATGTTTTTTAATAGAATAAAACTTTAATTATCCGAATTTTTGAATAAATCCGATCCATATTAGGAAAAATTTTTAATTAAAACTTTGATTAGAAGTGAATGTGTATGTGCATGAATGTATTATTGATCATTTTTTATAAGATACATACTCTATAAAATACATTTAAAAAAATTTTATTTTTTTTATATACTTTTTAGTCACGTTACATAAGATTTATGTAAATATAGAATTTTCTTAAGATAAATTTTCCATCTCTAACCATGAAGTCATATATACTTACCTATAATGTATATTATGCTATCGGTAAACATATACAGCCCATGCAACTTTTTTAAAACATTTTTTTTAATAATTTTAAATTAAGAAGCGCCATAACGGTCAGAACGTTAAGATGTTGAACTATTGTAAATTCATTTAAATGAACTAATTTCAGAAATGATAATTGCGTGCCGATATGGTTGTCGGACTTTCAACGCAATCAAATCTGAAAATATTAATAATCCCCCCAAATTCCCCAACTTAAAAACTGTAATAAAACTTATTGCGAAAAATAATGCCTCGGCCGGGAGTCGAATCCGGATCTCTTGCATTCCGTGCGAGCGTCCTAAGCCTTTAGACTACCGAAACATTTTTTT